CCTTGTTCTATCACATGATTTCAGGCTTCCTTATTTGCCTTCTGGTTCCTGTTTCAGTCTCGCTTGTCTTTCATTTGAGTAGTGGCCTGCTTTGTTCTACCCCTCTCTCCCTACTGAGCACAACATGAATGCTCAGTTAACTTTCAAAACCACACTGGTCACAGAATAATGCAAAAGGAATTTTATAGGCTTTGAGACCAATAGGGAACATTATGGTCACTCAGCTTGGCCTTCTCCATAACACACACCAAAGAACCCAACCCAGTAATTTCTGCATCAAGCCTGTAACTTCACTTGACCAGCAACGCATCTTTAGGAAGCATACTTATAAAGACCTACCAGATCTGTGTGATCACGTACTTCAGTTCTGTCAGTCTTAGTAACAGCAGCAAATGACAGTGAAGAGACAGTTGCTCAGGTTTCTTCTGATGATTAACATTAGCAACTACTTGGATGATAAAAATGAACCATTTAACAGCATCTGGATAGACAAAATCCAAGGAGCGTGTAGAAGCAGCAACATCTTGGGGGGTTGGGGGAGTATATCCAATGTACCGGAGGCAGAGGAGCTTAACTGAGAGGCATTCTAAAACTAAGGCCTTTGCTCTTCACCTGTTTGCTAAGGTTGTTTTAATTCTTACTTCATTGCTCTATCCCCTGCTATAAGATCAAGTTTTGTACAGTCAGGCTGACAGTGATACATAGACCTTTCCTCTTCATCATGCTACTTCTTTCAACATTAAGTCTATTCTTCTATTAAACATATCCTTATTAGCAACCAACTCAGAGCTGCTCCATTTTCCTGCTCCATCTGGTGGTGTCTGTATCGCAGCACAGCATAGTTAACTACCCAGCTTTATGAGCACCATCAATGCAGCACAGAGGACTTAGAGGACAAAAGGCACAGGTCATTTTTTCTATCTTGAACAAGAGAGTTCTGATTCTTGATGGAAAATAACCACCTATATATGAGACAGAATGGACTTCAAGAATTGAACCTGCAGGAAGCATCAGGTGGGAATTTGCAGATGGGAAATTAACTGAAAAGGTAATGGTCTCTCTGCCTTACTGAAACATTACAACAAATATCTGCCTGAAGTAATCCATTAAGTTTCAAATGAGATATTCAAGACATTGAAATATGCCTCCCACACACTTGCTTAAGCCGTCAGAAGGTGCAAATACCCACACATTTTCAGTATGTAATTTATACAGCATACAAAGAACAGTTTACTTTTAAAAGCTGTTGGCTTTAAAATTTACTATCAAAGTTTTCTGCATTTTTGCATGTGCTTTGACACATAGGTAAGAAAAAATTCTAACTTACATTTTTAAAATGTTTCTTTGGCATCAAGAGAGCAAGTACATGGAAGGATCCTAAAAGGCCATTAGTGTTTTGTTACATGGCTTGCAGCCTTCCATTCTTCACTCCCTTTACAAGGTGACTGCTACTGTTACGTGAGGTGGAGATGCTGCTGGAGAAGATCAGTGCCAAAGGCAGACCGTGTCATTTGCTTTCACCAACTGCAATACAGAGTATGGCAGCGCTCATAAGCAACACATGATTCTCTTTGAGCACACAGAAATTATTGCTTCAGGTGGATTGTCTGACCATAGCGACCCAGATACGTGCCGTATTTACAAGGGACCAGCTGTGTCCCGTGAACAGCCCATCGTGGAGATAAAGGCTGCAGGATAAGAGCTAAAGCCAGACAGCAAAATAACGGTCAGGGTTTTAGCAGCCAAAGCCTCGAGCTAAGGCTCAGAAAACAGAAGGAAACTATGCTGACCAAAGCACAGGCTGCCCAGCCAGCAGCGGCAACCGCCCACCTGAAGTAGCCTGTTCCGGCGTGGTGGTGAAGGGGCACTCACAAGTGCAAGACCACCTCTGCTCCGGTGTGAAAGCTGCTAACCAGGCGCAGACTGGCAGGCCCTGGCTGAGAGGGTTTCTGCTAAGTCAGCCCTCAGCCGACCCCATACTGCGAGCTCTAGGGACTAAACATGCTTTGGTTTCTACTAACTCTTATCACTCACTAACAACGACTATCAGATGCTTCCTGAGTCACTTAGGCTTGGACCATTTGTCAGATTTTTTAGGCACTGCATTAGCCCTGTGGTTCTGGGTAACATCTTGCAGTCCTATCAAACTGGAAGGAGACACCTCCTCCTCCTTCAGTACGGCCATTACAGTTTATAAAGCAGCAATGTGCTCTGAGTGCCAGAAAGCTGTCTCTGTGTCAGAAGAGAGAAACAAACTGCCCCAAAGGACTGAGTGCTACTGAGCCCTGCACTTCACAGCAACCCCTTTACCTAGTTCTCTAGACATGCACACACACACAAAGCTGTGCAGTGTTTTGCTAACCTCACAGTAAGATGCAACAACTTTACATTGGCTATCTCAGCATATACATACATATATCATACCTATCTCAGCATACTTTGCTTTGAACAAGTAACAGTCATCTATCATATCTAACTTCCCCACCTACGTACACCTGCCTAGAGCAGCAGCCAGCACGATGCTGAGGTTTGTGCCAGAATCCTCTTTCACACAAAAGGGCTAAGCTAAAGGAGTTATTAAAGTGGTGTTTTGGGTAAGACCTTATGTCATTTCTGCTTCAAAGAGTCACTTTGAGGATTTAAGGTGCTGTATCAGGAAAAGGTGAAAGGAGGCCCCGCACAGTGTCAATGGCATGCCCACCATGCTGTTAGGCAGTTTGGAAAGGCCAAAGAGTCTCTGGGTCAGAGGCTGATTTGGACAGGACAGACAGCTACTACTGCTTCTCCTACAGCACAGCTCTGGGCTTTCTTTAATGGATCAGCATGGTGTAAGATACATGATCAGAGAAAGAGAAGTGGCCAACACTAACTTGAGCTAGCCAACATTAACTCCCTTGCATTTTGCATTTCTAAGGAACAACAAACCTAAACAAACTTGGCATGTAACTTATGGCTGGCCAAAAGCTCCTTTAACAACCACATACAACTGGCGCTGGCCATCACCCAAACTTTCCATCCAACCTTGTGAACCAACCATCTACAGCTAAGGTAGTACAGTGAAAAATAACCTCCTGGGGGATTCTTAAATTCTTCCATTTGCTCTTAGTCCACCCTAATGAGTTCTACTGTCTCTTTCTCAGTTTGTTTGTAGTTAGATCTAGCAAAGTTCTCAGCAGTCACCAACCCATCTGCAGTTACCTCACTCCATGCCTTCTGCTTGCCCTTGGTCCTCTCTCCAGCACAATGGGCGGCAGTTCAGCATACAACTGGATCAGGCCATCAGGCCTGACGCTGAGAGCTAGAGCTGGGAATATTGGAAAGGTGGAAATTTTATTAATCTCTGAGAGTAAAATAGAGCTTCCTTTGCTATTATCCTATTATTAGGAAAGACAAGGTTTGTAGAGAAAGACTGACTGCTAGGCTGTAACCTCCATTTCTGACACAGAATTTCAGTATCTCCATATTGTTCCATCCATACTGGAAAAAACATGTAAATAAGCAAAAATTTTGAGAAATAGCTTGGTCACTTGACCACTAAGTTCCAAGGTAACGACACTCCTAAAACACCACTAGCAGCAACAAAGGGGGAAAAAAAGGGCAACTGCAAAGCAGCTAGCGTTAAGTACCTGCCACATGACAGCACTCTGCTGTAAACAGGCAGGTTAATTCTTTGGGATTCTGTCCTAACAGCACCACCTCGTGGTCAATGCACCAAAAAACCCAAATCAAAGCCTTATTACAAATAAACCAAAAATTCTCTCTTAAGCTCTGCTAAACAAATTTCTAAATAATGCCATATCTAATACATCAGATCACATTTCAATCTTCTCCTCCTCCCCACCCTCCACCCCTCAATTTCAAGGATACCATTCCAAGTCAGAGTACACCTCTCATCCCATACAACTGCAGTGGCTACAATTCCTACTGACCTGTGTTTTCCATCATCCAATACCTACACCTCCAGAAATCCTGGCACAGACTTGTGATGGAGCACTGCAGCAGTCCCAAGTCACTGCTCTCACACAATAGTACTAAAGACAGAACTAGTTGTTCTTTTTATGTTTCTTACTGTTCATTATGACACAAGCTTAGTTTCCTCTGTTTTAATCAAACAACAACAGAATGAGTTACTGCTGGTTTCTTACTGTAGCTTCTTCAGGCCTCAAACAAGACCTAACTTCACCAACACGGAGCAGGATACGTTATCACTTTAGTGGGGTTTAAAACACTCTGCTGCTGTTCTGTGCGCACACATTCAAATCTAAATGTTGCTGAATGTTGCACAAAAGTTAAAGCATCGGCACCAGCAGGTACTGACCTTTCATGGAGTAGAGCCAGCAGAATAAATGTTCAAAGAGCAAGAGCTCATGAGTACTGAGAGATAAAGACAGATAACTGACAGAGATAAGCAACTTTATATATATCACAATATACAAGTGACTTGGTCAGCAAAAGGCATCAGCTGTACACACTTTCATTGCTTGCCTTCCCGTTGCAAAATCAGACTGTTATGGACAAGTTTCTGACACAGTGGAATCACCAGCCGGTATCCATTCAGGGCATAAGGGGACAAACTTAGCTGCTCTTCAAAGCTTTACCGTACCAGCTGCTTCTGAAGAACATCTAAGAGGAACTGATGTGTAAGGCAGATCTTCCCACCGCTTAGGTTTTATAGTTGTAGAGACAGAGCTACAAACTTACCCTACGCAGGTAGAAAAAAAACAGGTTGTGTAAAACACACACACACCCCAAAAAAGTACCCTTGGCAAGAAAAAACACCTTGTTCCAAACAACTTTGACAATGTGTACAGGCAAGGAGACATTCACAGCACTGGGGTACAGCTGTAGTTATTAGGAGAGGGGTTCAATTTCTACCTGGGACTCCTACATTTGGTTTCATAAGCAATGCTGTTTAGCATGCAAAGTACCACTTCAGAAGTGAGAAAGGTAAGGACTGCTATTAAAAAGCTCCTGCTAATTAACTGTGGTTGTTTTTCCAGCTGCTGCAGACCCTGTCAGTGTGTTACCTGGAAGTTTGGGAAGAGGAAGCTGGTGTAACGAACATGATACGATCCATGAACGCTTAGATATTATTGAAGAGGTAAGAACTATTGCGCTGGCACCTGGGCTATACTAGACCTCTGCCCTCATCCTTTTGACCAAAGAAAAAAAAAAGAATGATGTTTCTAGACACTGTCCCTTCTTGATTTTATTCTCTTCAAGGTCTATTTTTTTCAGATGTCATGGTTTGTAACCATCCATAAAGAGATTATTACCAGAAACATTATCTTGATGAACTCCAAACAACTGATTAACCAGTAACATATCAGCCTTTTCTAAAATGTTTATAACTGTGCCTTTAATATAGCAATCTCAAAACTGATATTTGTAAAGTTTCACATCTGCTCATGGCTAGATGTGAATTCTGCAGGTAACTCCAAGACTGATGGAGAAGTTTCTGCTCGCTCCTGCAGACACTCCAGAGCTAAATGAATTCTGTGACTGGGACTCTAGGAAAGCTGCAGAGTTTTAATTTTATTCCCTGGTGTCTTAAGCGCTCACAAGATACATGTCCAGTATTAACTATTTCCAGCTGAGTAGTTGCCAAACTGCATGCTATTGGTTCTCAAATGGCAATGTTACTTCTCTCCTGCTCTAGTTCCAGCCCTCTTCATTCCACCCCATCAAGCTCATCATCCATCACCTGTGCAGATTCTTTTCTTGCATATTATGGTGGCTCAGAAATGAGAAAGAACTAAAAACAAATTAATGCAAAGCTCCCTCTAAGAAGTCAAATTATGGGTGATTCTTTAGACAGAGGTGCTGTAATTTAACTCTTGTGAAATAAAGTTTTAATACGCCGTGCCACTAGAGGCCAGCATAACACAAGAAATATTTAAGTCTGTACTGCGCAACATAAATTGTTAGCTGTTAGCATTATGGGATATTAGATTTGCACTTCCGCTAACACATTTGGTATAATTCCTTCCACTTGACCTTTTGACTAACCCCTTTCTCCATTTGCCTCCTTTGTTTTTATTAGAAGGTAATAAAAACAGTGGAGCATCTGGAATCAGAAGTCAAGTCACTCCTCAACATCATCAGTGAAACAACATCTAATATCCCCATCGCTCCAGGAACCCCACTTATAGACATTTTGGATGGTAAGTAACTAGTGGGCTATAACCTAGTTGAAAAGTGTTGCATGTGTTATCACCAAATATGCCTTCTTTTCTCCCCCCAAGATGTGAAGGAATCCCTTCAGTGCAGGTAAGGCCTCAAATGAAATACCAGGTGCAGTTTTGAACACCAAGTTTCACAACCACTAAAGAGGAGGAGGAGGAAGAAAAAGGGAAAAAAAACCCCACCACACAAAACCCCAGCCAAGGAGCTAGATATGTGAGCTACACAGAAAGGTTGTGAAGTTGGAGATGTCTGGTCTAAAGAACATCCAAGTAGCCCACCAGAACAAGTAAGGCTGCCACAAAGATGAAAGCTGTGTTTTCCTCCCCATTGCAAAAGTGAATAGAAAAGGAAATAGTGCAACAAGAAAGACTCAAGCAAAACACAACGCAAAGCTTTCTTACAAGGACAGTGAACCACTGAAATTATACGACTGCAGTTTCCCCAGCACTGGAAACATTAAACAAACATCACACCTTAGAACAGCAGGATTGACTAAGCAATGTCAAGGTCTTTTTCAGTTCTAAGACCCTGTGATTCTTCAGATTCATGTGTGACAAATAAAACAAAAGAGAGCAACAAAATACAAAAAAAAGGTATTGAAAGTATTACCATTTTGATATCTTAAATCCAATTTTGACATGCAAGCCCCTCACACAAGATATGCTCCTGGATGTTTTTGGAATAAATTAAACCACAACAGAAATTACTTGGACGAGTCCACTTGTTCTACACAGCTTCTTATAATGCTCCGTCCTCTTCATTTTCTGCCCAAATAACAATAATGCATTTAACAAGGTGAGAAACACTCCTGGTGGAAAATAAACCTCCTGTCAAAAGGTATGAGCATCCACAGACATGTTTATCAAGTGAGTTTTGTCAGTGTTGGGTTTTTGTTTGTTTATTTACATACACATGTGCATACTATAGTGCACTTATATGACAGAAGATGGGCTTGAAGTAGACAGCAGTAGAGTTGATGTTGGTTTTTAGTTCTTGCAGTTGTCTGTATGGATCTGGTCACCATGACTAGTATGTCCTCACCAACTTTGTTACTCCTTAAAATTTCCAATTTTCTGTGAGGGTAACAGATAACAATTAAGTTATTCCCCTGCAACAATAACTTATTTTAAAAAGTATTCCAGAAAGTGTTACAGTGAATTTAAAACAGAAATCCCAAGTCAACCTTGCACATTTGCAGTCCTTCTATAGTAAGTACTACTCAGATGGAGCTTGCAACCACTGCCAAATAGCTCAAGAATTGCAGAGCTCTAGGACCTTCCTTCTGTGATTTGGTGCATCAAAGTGACAACTCCCCACTTCAAAGTAGCAGGATTCATGTTTTAAACGATCCTGATCCTATAACAAAAAATAATTACATCAACTTTTCTCTATACAGATACCAGCTGAGCACTGCGAAGACAGAAGACATCTGAATATAACAGTATGGTTGTCATAAAAAGTTGCACTTTTGTTCATTTAATAAGCTTGTGTTTCCAAAATTTGAGCAGGGATGATCAATCCTCAGCTGTAGTTTGCCTTTGCTGTTCCCGTGCTTTATAATAAAAAGGTATTTGCTTTTAGACACTATTTCAAAGCTTTGTATTTTAAATCTTTAATCAAAACTGCATTTCAAATACAGCACTCTCAGTAAGAAAACAAGATCAGGTGGGGTCCAGGACTAAAGCACAGCTAACAAACTTCCCTTAATTCAAAAGCTCACTCCTTCCCTGGCAAAGAAGTGAATTCTTGCTATCGGTGTAAATCAATGAAGATAAACCTTCAGCTGCAATTTCCTCTCAACATATGCTTAGATTGTCAGACAAAAATGGGTATATGGAGTAGTCTGGCTTTGGACATAGTCACGTTGCTGCCACTGACTGAAACAGGCATCCTTATCTGCACATCCTAGTCAGAACTGGGACTAGTCAGCATTTGTCATTTGGATGCACAGCCACCTTATTCTGACATCTTTACCCTCTTCTCCCTTGCCATAGTGGCAATGCAACCCAGAATTAACTCCAGCATCGACCCTCATTTTCTTCCATGACAAACAGCAACACAACTTCTTCTAGGAAAAAGGACCTGCCTGACCTTCACAGAATGGAGAGAGCATGCGTGAAATAAGAGCAGGAGTTTGCACATTCTTGATTAACAAAGCAGTCTATTTTCACTGTCCTAGCTCCAAACCCTCTTCCTTTCCTTGTATTTTTTTCCTTTACTTGTTTCTACATTGAGAATGACAAGCTGAAGAGAATGCCAGCAGAGAATAAAAATTCAGAGTTCCAAGAGCCAGAGAAATTACAACATGCAAAATGAAAATACTGAGAAATAACTACAAATTACACATATCAAGTACAAACAAGTGCTCATCAAGAGCACACAAGTCTCAAACTCTTGCCCACACAACCATTTCTGAATAATTCTGTTGATTCAAGCAGAGAACTTCTATGGAAAAACTAGATTACATAATAAACTGAGTCATCACTCACATGTAAATCTACACGAACACCAAAAAAGCATAATCTGCAAAGAGTTAGAAGATAGCTTTAATTTCATAATCTCTTCTTACATACATGTATTTAAGGCACAATCCAAAACCTTAAAATATTAACTACAGAATCTTTACTACCGTCAATGTTACTACTGCCTTGTGACAGTCGCCCTAGTGAGAAATGTGGAACGCATCTTCCTTAAAAACAATCAAGGAAAGAAAACAGAACTTGACAAAACTTCTTTAAGATAGTCTTAACTAGACACAAAAACTCAAGACTGTTCTGTCCACATATCAGGGAGCAGGACAGCATGAAACCAACTCTGCATACAACAAAAAACTTGCATTAATATGTCACGTAATGTTTATACAAAAAACAAAATCTTAAATCATACAACTGTGATTTTTGTTCCACAAAACAAACATTATTTCAGCATAATATAAGCAGAAAAGAAATAATGACCTGTCATTCATGGATTGCTGAGAGTACTACACAGAATCCTGAGCAGATGGCACATAAGCTTGATATTTATATTTTTTTGGCATTTATTACCTACTATTTTTGAACTCTAGATATATGCAATATTATCTTTAAAATTTTAATTGCTTTAGGGGAAACAGGTCATTACATATTTACTTCTGGAGAAAAATGATGCTTTAAAGCAAAAACATGAAAATAGCAGCTTTTCTAAGAAAAGCTCAATGCTCCATTTAGTCATTTCCACCACACAACTTGAGTAGGATTTTCCGGTAATCTCCTGAGGTATCACCCTGGAAAGAAATCCAGAAAAAGAAAAGTTGAAGACTTGTGCTTTGAAATAGAGGAAAAAGAGGTGTAAGCATTCTAAACATGACATTAACAGCCAAAACATATGAAGCCAGGGCTGAAAGAAAGCAGATGTTAACCTCAAAAAAAAAAAAAAAAAAAAGTAATAATTAGAAATCACTCTAATAGAAGTACACAGTTATCATGGTTTAACCCCAGCTGGCAACTAAGCACTACACAGCTGCTTGCTCACTCCCCCTTGCCCCCTGGTGGGATGGGGGAGAGAATCGGAAGGGTAAAAGTGAGTAAATTCATAAGTTGAGATAAAAACAGTTTAATAATTGAAATAAAATAATGACAACTTGTAATGAAAAGGAAAATAACAAAAAGAGAGAGAAATAAAACCCAAGAAAAACAAGTGATACAAACGAAAAACAATTGCTCACCACCTGCCAACTGATGCCCAGCCAGTCCCTGTGCAGCACCCATACTCCCCCGGCCAACTCCCTCCCCTGCCCCAGTTTATACGCTGAGCATGATGTCATATGGTATAGAACATCCCTTTGGCCAGTTTGGGTCAGCTGTTCTGGCTGTACTCCCTCCCAGTTTTTAGTGCACCTCCAGCTTTCTCGCTGGCAGGGCATGAGAAGCTGAAAATTCCTTGACTAAGTAAGCACTACTTAGCAACAACCAAAATATCAGTGTGTTATCAACATTATTCTCATACTAAATCCAAAACACAGCATTATACCAGCTACTAGGGGAAAAATTAACCCTATTGCAGCCAAATCCAGGAGAGCAGTAAAAATTGCTCCTTCCATAATTGGAACCGAAAGTGTCCGTAGAGAATATATTTCTTTAGCAAACCAAATTTGGTATACTGGTTCAACTACTTACCTGGGAACAGTTGAATAAAATACCTCTTACAGAAAAGCTGTCTTCCAGCAAAAGGTATGAAAATATGGAAAAACTAATGCAGAAGTCTTTTTCCTTGCAGTCAACGTGGACATTTTTCCAGGGGCAGCAAGTAAAAGTTTACTCTTTATTATGTTCAAACATTAAAAACAATGCCCTGATATCAAACGATCTAAGGGGTTTTTTTTTCCACAATTAGAAAACATCTCTCTCATGTTGTGGGCAGTGAAAGTCAGTATGGATGCACACACAAACATGCACTGAAAAGATGAAAAGATTTCATGAACAGCAGCAATTAATCACAAAAGGCCTTGCTAGCCGAGTTTTGCCTGGTGCTCTTATGAGTTCCCTGGGAGCTGCTCATTAACTAGTTCTGGTTGATGAGGCTTGCCAATCCTTTTCACAGAACAGTTTCAGCTACTGCATCTATCTCGTCCTTCATCTTCAGGTATGACTGAAAACTGTTTTGTCCAGATCAAAATTATTACATTAGTGACAAAGACACACCTCAAAGATCAGGATAAATCCTGTGCAGGTGTAAAGCACAATACACATATGTGCTGAAAAGAACAAACCAAAAAAAAAAAAAAAGAATTAAGAACTTTCTTTCCAAGGACATAAGAACATAAGAAGTAGAGTTGACATGCACGTAACTGTGCACATGCATGCCTCCTATTTACTGAAACCAAGTTTTAAAATCATAGAATTGTTCTGGTTGGAAAAGACCTTTAAGATCATCAAGTCCAACCATTAGTTGTTCAGCCCATTAAACAGGTTTCTGAACAGTAAAATTATTTTAATGCTAGATCAAAAGGAGGGGACGAAAAAAGACGAAAAAAGGACAAAAAAAGACAAAAAAGGACAAAAAAAGACCAAAAAAGGACAAAAAAAGACGAAAAAAGGACAAAAAAAGACGAAAAAAGGACAAAAAAAGAAAAAAAAGACAAAAAAAGAAAAAAAATACGACAGCCAGCTTTTCCACCAATGTCTCACTGTTTTTTACTCACACATTGGTGGTTGCAGGGTATATAACTACTGTAGTAGAAGCACATCTTCACTCCACAGTTAGACACTTGGAAAAAGCTTCTGCTAAGTAAGGATCCATGTCATGAAAGGATGACATGGCAACTGAAAGCAGAAAGGATGTCACAGCAGGGAAGATAAAATCTTCAAGTCTTACAGTGATATCTGTGTAGAGGGATCTGCCATACATCCGCTTGTATTCTGCACGTATGTCCAGCAGGTCAACCTCGCTGCGTGATACCATGATTCGAATCAGAGTTCTGTCTTTCGTTCCCGCTCCCTGAATCAAACAAAACAACAATACAATGTATTAATAACGTGTGGAAATGCTGGATGATACAGCACTAGTAAAATAAATCATTACCCCTCAACCGCCGACCATTTACCAGCATAACCCCATTAACATCAATAAGCTTGAACAAAATTTGGCCTATCATGCTTTAATAAATTAAATTTACTGGTAGGAAAACAACAGTCATTTCTCTGTAAAAGAACAGTTAGGAAAAAAAAAGGGGGGGAGGGTTGTCAGAGGGACAGGGGATCAGGAAAGTTTGGTGAGTTTAATGGCCTATTTAGTTACTTCAGCTTGATCTCCCTTCTTAAAAGACATCTTTTTTTTTTTTAATAAAATCATAGAATGTCCTGAGTTGGAAGGGA